ACGGTTGCGGACGGTTGCGGACGGTTGCGGACGGTTGCGGACGGTTGCGAACATAGAAACAACGGATCGCGAACAAGACTCTACCCCCAGACCCCCAGAGTTAAACGAGAACCCTTCGCTACGCATTCGGGAAAAATAATATCTACCATGTAGAAAAAAAATATGGTATGGCATGTTGCAAAATAATGAAATATTATTTTGATATATGGTTTCCAAATAATTTTTAGCACTGAATGACATAGAATAACAATAACCCGTGGAAGAAGGTATGATGCAGGGTTTATTGGAAATTATTTGGCAGGTGGAGGGGTACGTGTGCCAGAGCAAAAATAATTTGATGTGCTTGTCCACAGAGCTGAGACAATCAAGATATAAAATATAAACCACACAGCATGATAAGGTAGGGGGGAGGTGGTATAGACCACCCACCTAAGTGGGCAGATATATGGGGACAGCTCCTAGGAAAGTGTTCAGTAACAGCAAACGTAGGTGGTGCAAGCGCAACCACCTACAAAAATAATCGCGCCCTCTTTTCTGCCATTCTCTCTCGGTTTCTCTGTCAGACCGTGAACGTCTGACTCCCACATCAATCAGCTATGCTTTGCCACCAAGTCATCGTTTGTCGCGCTGCAATCAGTTTGAACTAGCCAAGGCACACCTGATCCAAAACTCTGGTAGCCAAAGCAGCCGGCTTCACACTCTCATCAAATTCTCGCTGGGATCCATCCTATCAGGGGGGCTACCTTTATCTGGGATCCATCCATTCGAGCACAAACATAATACTATTTGGCAGGTGGGCTACCTGTCATCTACCCCCAAAATAAATAGTTACTTGAATATTATTAATGATGTCTGTGGGGTAAGCCTTGCCTCCCTTACTGGTTCCTTCTACTAAACTCCTCAATGTTTTCAACCTTTTCCATATTTTCCATGGAATAAGTGGCAAATACTGGCAACATTCCCCCCACCTTATTTATTACTTAACAGGTCGTTTAGGGGGGTACCCCACCCCTGAAATAGTTTTATGGACCATATCACGCTATCCACACATTCCAGTCAATCAGTCCATCTACTAATTATTTCAGAGGTCCCTTAGGCCAGCCCCACCCCTGAAATACGGCGATTGTTTGACCTGCCTTGGACAGAGATCTTGCTTGTCCTCAATATTTTCCATATATTCTCCCGGATCGGCTGCCCCATCAAGGCAAAAAAGACTGGACAGACGTTCACGGTACCACAGAGAAACCGAGAGAGAATGGCAGAAAAGAGGGCGCGATTTTATTTTGTAGGTGGTTGCGCTTGAACCACCTACGATTGCTGTTACTGCACACTTTCCTAGGAGCTGTCCCCATATATCTACCCACTTAGGTGGGTGGTCTATACCACCCCCCTGTTATCATGCTGTGTGGCTTATTATTTCTGAACTATATTACCTCCATAATAATTCTATTCTCAGGTGGGTACACCCACCTAAAAATAATAACTTTATTATTTTGAGGTGGGTGGGAGGGAGGGTGGTCAGCTGGCAGCCCCTATGTCAGGGCCAGGGACACTCGGGGATTTGGCACAATACTGGGTACTCTCGGGTTCCACACAAAACCCTCCTTGTGACAACCCATATGAGTGGGTCGCCGATCCTTCGAGAGTTCCAGACCGAGAGTTCTTTCGAGACCCAAAGGTCTGAAGGTCAAATTCAATAACCGCGCTCATGTGAATCCTCAGGTGGGAACTGGCCGAAAGCGACTTGAAAGTGCTTTATGCCGCTTGGCCATCGCGAAAAGAAGTTGACACGCTGCAAGAAACGGTTTTTTTTGTTGGTTGGGTATGTCATGTCATATGTAATAATCCACGCATATCCACGCAAGACTGCAACAAGCATTGTTCTTCTTGCCATTCATTTCCGACATCTCCATTTGGATTCAGACCTTCCGACCAACATAGCTTGACGTTTGTTTTCAGACCTTCCGACCTCCAAAACGGAGCTGCGCCAGGTCCCTGTGCCCTTGCTGTGGATCGTGCCCTGCAAGAAGGCGGACCGGGCGGACCGCGACCAGAGATTCGCTTCCCGAGACTCGACCCAAACTAGGAGCAAAGGGCATCGCTACTGGGAGCAAGGACGCTACTAGGGGCTCCTGGCATCGCTACTAGGAGCAAGGACGGTTCCCGGAAGGCGGAGCTGCGCAAGTTCCCATGGTACGATTGCCCGCTCTACAAGGCGTTCCGTTGCAAGCGAAGCAAGCGAAAAGGGGTTTCGGCGAAGACGTCCCAAAACCTTCCGCTTTGTTCGGGTCGGACGAAAAGGCGATCCTTGATTCGGTGGAAAAAGCACTGCCGGCCGTCTTGGTGACTCAGGTGTCGACCCGGAAGGGCGTGCTCTCGACCACTGGGCACAGTACCAACTTCGTGCGATGCTGAGACAGGTTTTGTTTGGACGTCAGGCAAGAAGGAGCACACGATAAATAGTAAACCATGATAAACCATGTTTCAGCGATTGACAAGAATCAATTCTTGCAATTTTGGTTTGCAGTTGGCAGTGATCTTTCGTGCTTGGATGCCAATGAGGTCATGCCTATCAAGCTTAGATCTTCTCATCCGGACTCTTGGCAGCAATTATCACACTCTGTTCTGACAGCTGGAATTTCAATGGCCCTTCTATGGGGGGGTAGCAAGGTTCTTGATATAAATCCCAGGACCCCACTGTTTGCCACCGCTTCTCTAAGGTCTCCAGGAGAGTATATATCAAGTGTCCCCCCAAAATTGGAAAAATCAGGGAACCAAATCATTAGTGCGAGCACTATCCTGCGTCCAGTAGTTAGTAGCTACCTTTAGCTACTACTAGCTACCTCTCCTACCTCTACGAGCGGCCTAGCCCCCCCCAAAAAACACTATTTTGTGAGTCCTTTTGGGCGCTTCAACCTGTTCTAGCTGGCAAGAGCCGTGCCGCCCCCAGGAATCCCATTGGGTGAAGCGTGGAGTCGCCATGCTCACGCAACTGGACGCCTGAGTGGACGTCTACGGCCCAAAGCCAGGGGTGTGACCAACTGAGCAATTTAATGACTTGAAGCATTTTGAACCAAAGATGACTAGAATATACAAGAATTGAGTGGAACCTACCCTGGCAAAGGCAGGTGACACGTTTCACGATTAGAGGCAGATGCACGCACGTTCTTTCATCAGCAGGATCACTTTGTTGAGTAGACCACAGATTTCGAAAAGACTCGTGCTTCGTCGTGCCAGTGTGTAAAACTATGTCGCCCTGCGGAGGCTGTGCAAAGGTACGAATGACATGTGTTAACAGGATGCAACAGGCCCAAAGCCGAGAAGCAGTTCTCCCATGGGCGGACAAAACGTCGGGAAAATGAACGCTCCACGTTCGAACACCGCGTTGTGACGTGCCACTGTGAAACATGGACCGTCGTCACGCTGGTCGTGCGATGGAAGTGCACTGGCCATCGATGGCTTGGACAGGGCTGTTCGGTGCCAGGGGAAAAAAGGGTCCTGCAGCTGCGCCGTTTTGGTCAGGGCGTAACAACCCACCCGGTGATGTGGCACAAACCAACTAAGCAAATCAGCTCTTGGGGTTTGTGCAATCTCCTTGCTGTAACAGTAACAGATGCAATTATTGAACTGTATTTAACTTGTGAGACTGAACGTTGCAAAAGTATGCAAAAGTATCAGAATGATCTATACCACAGAGGTTGGCAGTTTGGGGCCATTTGAGGTGGCCGGCTGTTGCTGGAAAGCATGGCACTTGCTCCAAACTACATTACATGATAAATTAGAACAAGGGGAGTATCTGCTACCCGTAATTGTATTATCATGTATTTATCCATATTTACCCCAAAGTGTCCATTATTCTTGCTTGCTTCCTCTCAAAGCACGCAAGTCTAGCAAAGCTGCCTAAAGGAACAGGTGCCTCTACCTCATGCAGCAAAGAAATCTTAAAGATTCTTAAAGTATCTCTCAGGTTCTTCCATCCTCCCAGATGCGTGTCATAGACTTCCGGCGCCAACCTCACATCAGTCCCAACCGACCGGTCCAACCGACCGGTGACCGGACCGGAGAACGATCGACTTTGGGCTCCAGCTGGGTGAGCGCCACGGGGCGACCGCCTCGGCCCCCATGGCGCCGAAGAGGCCCCGACACCGCCCTCGCTTCGCCCTCGATTTCGCGAAGTCGGCGTCAGTGGGGGGTTCATGGCATGACATGGTCGGAATGAAGGTCTTTCTTTCTGAAAAGGTTTGATCTTCAGATTTGCCTCGCTATTTTTGTTGATGCCTAGCATCATGTTGAACATATTTGTTCCCTGCCCTGTGGCTGTGCGATCCGCACCCCATACCTGGAAGTGATGAGACTGCAGCTGCATGCTTAACCCGTGGACTGGCCAGTGGCCACAGTCAAAACCCGTGGCCATGCTGGATGACCTATTGCTAGTTTGTTGTTTTAACCGATTTCGCTTAATGCGTAGCTGTACTCGTAGCACGGTTTGAAAACGCCTAGCGGTTGAGCATTTGTTGACTTGTGTAGTGATTTTTGATGCAATGCGTGCTCTTTGGGGTATTGAAGGGTTTTGAGCGTTTTTCAAGATGCCAAAGCCTGAAGCTTTCTTGGGCAAAAGGTGAAAACCCACACAACGCAGCGCAAATTGCTGCAAAATGCGCGCGATCGGGACACGTGGTGAACCACCCATATAAGGGTTCCATTCGCGTGTTTGAGCGATTGGAGCACTTCTTGCTTGAATGAGCACTTTTTGACATGAGTGTTTGTCTTAAGCGAAGGAAGCTTCAGGATAAAAATGCACATGCACACACGTGCATGCTTTTCAATGCTACTCACAAGAATGGCTTTGTCCGTTTCAGAGGTTCTCTGGCCGTGGTCCGGCCGACGCCGGTTGCCAGGAAGTCAGGCACCGCCAAGGCGGCTGCCAAGGCCGCAGTGGGCCCAGATCGAATTCCATGGCAAGACCAAGAATCTTGTTACTACTAGCTTCTTGTTACTACTAGTAAGGCACTTGTTACTAGTAGCGTGGCACTTGTTACTACTAGCTTTAAAGCTATACCAAGAGTCTTCGGATGGTGGGACATGGTGACGTGAGACATGGTGAGACCTTCCATTTTTCAAGCCAGGCAGCACGAGCTCGGACGTAGCACCAAGGCCCAAAAGCTTGCAGAAGCAGCTCCGCCACTGGAGGTGGGGGGGGCCCTCCGATGTCCACTGTCGTCCGGCGAGGTTCGTCGCTTGACAGGGAACGGAGCTTCGAAAGGCTGCACGAAGCGTCAGAAATCGAAGGCTCTCCGGACATTGTTACTACTAGCTTCTTGTTACTACTAGTAGTAAGGCACTTGTTACTAGTAGCGTGGCACTTGTTCCTACTAGCTTCTTGTATAGGAAGGCAGATGGAGGATGGTATGGCAAAGATGTTCATTGGAACCTGTGGGTCATGATGGGCATGTGGTTTCGATCACCAAACCCTGTCAGCACAGATCCATATTCAGCTCTTTCAGATATGTGTTCAATTCGAAGGGATAGTAGCACCGAACGCGTCCACCACCTGGTGTTTCATATTCACAAATGCAGAACATGTGGGTGTTTTTGTATAGACCATGCCGGTCCACCCATGGTGCAGAAGATCTGTTTTGCATCGGCGTCAGAATCTGGACTTCTTAGAGGCCGCTGGGCTCTCAGGAGTGAAGATGAGCTCTTCGTGCGAATCAAAGGCATTGTTCAGCTGACGGCTGTCAATCTGATCTTGGTACTCATTGACATGAAGTGCCATTTCACACGTGGGTTTCTCATGGTTTCTCCGTTATTTTGCTTGGGGGTTTGCGTCAATGACTGCCTCAGGGCGCAGGCAGCACCTCTGCGTTGTATCGTGTTGCTTCCTCCGACCCGTGCCGTGAAAGACGGTGCGCTGCCTGGGAGTGGACGGAGCGCAGACGGTGTTGGGAGAATCTGTTGGAATCGCCATTAAATTGAAAAGATTAAGTAAATAGCATTCTAGTAACTAGAAACTACTAGGTGGAGGCCATCACTATTAGGTTGGAGGCGATTGCTACTAGTAACTATAGAAGCTTTCTAGTAACGACCAAAGCGGATTAAATAGGAATCATATGAATCAACAAGTGTTTTCATCTTCAGTGAGGACCTTTGACCTTTGTGAGGACCTCTCTTTTCAGGGTTGTGCCTTTGATGCTGGGCGCAGGCCGGTGCAGGATGAGAATGCCAGTGAGGTCGTTCCACCAGGTGCGGGAGCCGAAACGCCTTGCCGCAAACCGTGTGCAGACCAAGCCCCATGCAGATGGGAGGAGCCAAAAGCACCTGTGATATTTTGGAACATCCAGGTTCAGGGTCCTTGTGACTTTTTGCTCAATGACTCTTGTAGAACATGGTTTTGTTATGTTTTGTTTAGGTCTTCCCACCAGCGACATGTTTTCCATCCAGTCAGGGGAACCAGGTGACTTCGGGAGATGACTCCATATTTTGGACCACCACTTTTGGCCCAAAGTTTTCCACTCGACCTGAACGTTTTCTACGAGACGTTCGTTCTCACCGCAGTGAAATTCCGACAAACAGACCCTGGTCATCCGGCAAATGGATTGCTTCACTGCGTGTTCCTCGGCATCCACGGATGTGAACCCCTATGACACCAAATGGAAGAAGAGTGCAGAGTACCCACCAGACAAGGATTCCCAATGGGAAGGCCGACAGTGGGAAAGGGATGAGTGGAAAATGGCGCACAATGCCCTCCGTGGTGAGATGAAAGATCCTTGGCCCAAAGACGAGACACTTTCGGGCTGAAGCTCCAAATGAGAGGCAGACGTGTGGTTCAAACTGACAAAACATGTACTCCTTGTTTTCATGGTGAATGGGCAAATGTCAATGGCAAAAGAGTTGTCGAGTGTTTCGATTGTTTCGATTTCTGTTGGTGCTGAGTCTGAGGATTTGCACGCGGCGATCATGGCCGGAGTGGAGCGAGGTTCCTTGAAGGCGCATGAAGTGAACGCTCTCCAAGACGCCTGGGTTCAGCACAAGGAGCATCTTTTGTCCAATCACCAGAACAAGGCAGAGATCGTCATGGGCGCTTTGAGCGAACGCATCAATGTGGGCGAGAAGATGGTGAATGAGCACAAGAAGGTCAGCAAGAAGATGGATGAACTCGACCAGGCCTTTGCATCCCTCCAGGTCTTGTCATCACCCGATGGCTTGTTGCGGAGCTTCGGGACGTACCAAGAGGAGCTGTTGAAAGTACTCGACTATGAAGAGCACAATGAGCTGATCCTCATGCGCTACTTCTTTGCACCTCAGGAATTTCGGCCCGTGGTGGCCAAGCTGCAAAGAGGGAGGATGGTCTTGCGCTGAATTGAGAAAGAGTGACCGTCTAAGGGTAGGTACAGGTAGAGCGTGGAAGATGGAACGCACTCCCAGCTTGCTGTGATTCTTCCTGACCAGTTTTTTTGAGAGATCCGTCCAAAATATTGGAACTTGTTGTCGGGGGTCTTAATTTTGTGTACATTGAGCAAATGCTGAAGACCGATGAGGAACACCCAAGCTCGATGCCTTTGTATCATGCATCTTTGATCATCAGATGGTTTCAACTGAGCGGAGTGTTGTTTTTTGTCAAGCAATTGTTGCTGTTCAGGTTTTAGCATGTTTTAGCACTCTCGATCCACTCTCCTACTCTAGCGGCTGCTAGGAACTATCCAACATTGACCGGATGTTAGGGACTGATTTGGTGATAGCCGCAACAACAACAACTAGTAACTACTACTACGAGGACGACTCCGACCACCACCACAACAACGACTGTACAGTATACTGCAACACCTACTACTACTACTACTACTACTACTACTACTACTACTACTCCTGCTGCTGCTGCTGCTGCTGCTGCTGCTGCTGCTACCACTACTACTGCTGCTACTACTACTACTACCACCACCACAACAACAACTATTTTTTTAGATTTTACCAGTGTGTATAGACCAATGCCCAAACCGATGCCGCGGAATTACTTCCAGAGGCCAGATCAAGGGACATACCCACGTCGGCAGCAGACTATATGGTTCAAAGGACATGCCCAAGTGCAAGGAACTAGTACTTGAGCTTTTGCTGCGGGGCCCGGGCCATAAGACTTCGCCAAGCCAGCCACAAGAGAGCAATAGCATTACTCACAATGCAGTATTTCTCGGCAATACTCGAAAGACAAAGCGTGTCGAGATGAAGAGAGACTGGAGAGAAAAAGGTTCAAGGGCTGACATTCGCCAAACATTGAAAACCAATGGGGAAGCCCAAACGTGATTCCAGGTGTAGGGAATTTTGGACAGACCTCATACTTTGGGTTTACATGGTTTTGCCAGCCGAATGAAACATCGTTTGGGCATGGTATTCGTTAGACCACAATTGGCGATGAAAGTCATGGGGCCATCCCAGAGCCTTCCCACCCGGAGCCTCAAAGTACGGAACCGCCAGCGTACCACAAGTGCCGCGGCGCGAGACTTTATTTTGCCGAACCTATGTCAAGATGAAATCAGGTGGTTCTTGAAAGTTAAAGGTAGAAGACACCCACCAGCAGGTGGATAGAATTGAGGCGGGTTATACGCGTATACTAATTAATAAGTATTAGTGATGGCAATTATTTTGCATGTGGTATCATGTGGTTCAACAAACTGGAACCCATCCTGCGCAAGGTTGAAGCGATTCTCAGCAAGACTCCTGCTTCTGCGGTGGGTAGTTTGATCTACTACGCTGGTGATGAGGAGTTCTTTGAGTTCATGAAGCAAGAGGGGATGTCAACATTTTCGCCTCTCAGCAAGAGAAGAACCTTTCCCACCGTTTTGAATGAAGAAGTTGTGGACTAAACAATGCTATAAACATATAGAATATCATAGAATCATATAGAATCATTTTTTTGGGGGGGGGGAACATGTCTATATATGTGGTTTTGGATATGTCAACCCTCAACCCAGGCGCCGTCTCGGACCGGTCAAGGGAAGCGTGCTGAAGTGATTTCCAGGGCCACTGGAGATGGGTGACACATGGTGTTTGACTTGTAAAAGAGAGGAGGTTGACTTGAACCCCAGGAGCTACTAGTAGCGTCCTTGCTCCTAGTACTATGGCCAGGAGCTACCAGTAGCATCCTTGCTACTACCCCACGCGGGTTTCATTCTGGATCTCTGAGGTGGTATTGGGAGCTGAGGGGCAAGCGCAACAAGTTCGAGGACAACTTCGTCCAACCTTTGCAAGCTGTGGCAAGTGGTGCCCAGACGAACACGTGCGGATTGTGTTGAGTGAGGTGTTGATATTTATCAAGTGAGGTGAGAAGCTCAAGTGAGGTGAGAGATGTCTGAAGCAGTGGATAGAACAAATGAACTGTACCTTCCGAGACTTACCTTACCCTACCTTGGCGAAGACCGAGAGGGTCTCGTGGATGAACCAACCAAGTTGGGTCAAGTCCACGATTTCTCGACTGTTTCATCACGGCTGACTTTTCTGATCAGTGGTCAAAGCCCCTGCCGGAGTTGCAAGAAATGGTAAATAAGCTTTATTGGCTAAAGGCTACTATACATATTATTGGTTCAATAGCGAGGTAACTAAGTGCTGACTTGGTCACAGCAGAAATCCATGTTGATTGGGCGCTTATCAGGCTGTGCTCCGCCAGAGGCATTTTTGGGCACTGCTCACGTGGTCTTCAGGCTGTGACGGAGCAAAGAAACACCACGCGCCACTCGCTGCCTGCGCCACGCGCCACGCGCCATCCGTCACGTCCCGCGTCGCGTACGCTCCACCGTCGTGGAAAGCGTCGTCGCAGGAAGCTTTCCCAATCCTTACCTGGTCATCGACTTCAATGACTGGCTCCAAAAAGCGAAGATGTGGATTTGGGGGAATGGCTGCCTGCAAGAGCAGTGGTATTGTTGGAGAACTCGCCTTCTTCAATACAAAAGAGTACTATCTTGGGATTTTTTGCTTCTTCAATTTGAGGCATTGCGAACATTTGAGGTAGCTGGATTTTGAGAAATTGGGTAAGAAATTGTCATCCAGGTAAGGTCATCTCGGAGAGCAATGCTTGCTCTAAGACTCTAAGACTCTATGATCACCTTTGGAGTAACTTGAAGCGCATGCTTTTTGCCATTCATGTCATGTTCTGTCGGTTGTTCTTGATGTTGACTGAAGCGCCAAGTGCCACCCAAAAGTAGCCGTGTGACGTGTTGATCGTGTTGAGACCTTGTGAGACCGAGTAAGCACGATCCTTCAGGACAAGCACGGTGTTTGGCAAAAGGAGACTGCGCTGAGCAAAGCTCTTGGGCAGGACACGGTCAAGCACCGGTCCCTGCTTTGGGCGTGTACCATCTTCACTAGCATGTTTGCTAAGATTTGTTCAGTGGCAACCTTAAAATGCGCCCGCTTCTCAGGGGTTTCAGCGGACCTTTTGCACCTTCTACTTACGTACAAAAAAGTATATATATATATATATAAGAGTTCAAGGCCCAAAGACATCCATCAGAATCAGAAGCTGGGTCCACTTTCTTTGACAGCAAAGAGATGCAGAAATGACTGAACGGCGCACTCGTTCGGTAGCCCGCTGGACGAGAATGTCTGGTGGAGAGCTGCCTCCGAATCCTGAAACCCCAACACAAATGGTCAAGCAGGTTTGTGAGGTCTCACTAGGTAGCAGGCCCATGGTCAAATTGAAAGCATATTTCTATATGCATTTCTATGCACTTTCTGATTTTGTTTTGATTTCTTTGAGCCTAACAAACAGGAAATAAACGAACATAAGGAAGACCAGACTACGTGAAGGACCAGGACAATCCAGGACCAAATACATCCAAATACTATCACATTAGTTATAGCTGTCAGACCCATTGGTTGGGAGGATCTGCAGGTCGATCTTTCATTTACCCCCGTTGCGTCTGGGAGAAGGTGGAAACGCCCTAGTAGCGTCCTTGCTCCTAGCAGCGATGCCAGGAGCCCCTAGTAGCGTCCTTGCTCCTAGTAGTATGGCCAGGAGCCGCTAGTAGCTTCTTGTTCCTTTGCCAAACCGATCGCTACGATTCAGGATCCAGCCACCAGCTGCCGCCATGCGACGCCGGGCTTTTGGAGACCGGCAGGGCTCAGGACGGCGGTCTGACCGGGGAAGAACGGACGTTTGACGCACGCGGTTAGCTCAGCGGTGATTCCAACCGGGAATTTTCCCCCCAACCTACGCGAAAAGGAGGTGGTTACACTGTTACACTAGGGGTCGGCATATTTCCCTCATGAGAGGGAACTGACATCTCAGGTTCATCTCATATGTAGTTCATATCAAGGTTTGGGCGAGCTTGGCTCTGAAGCTGGACACCATCCGACCGAAGATGGAAGTCGATGACTCCGTATTCGATGACTCCGTTGTATTCCGTTGTTGCAGACCGTCGAGGGCTCAAGATGCTCGAACTAGGCAGGGTTTGGACCGGGCCATGTCCCGTGTGGTCCGAAAACCACCTGTGGCTTATGTTTGGGTGACTTGTTGATGGTCAAGTCACGATGAATCACGACGGGTTGAAGGGTTGGGGGGCAAGGCAAGCAAGAAAAATGTCCCACAGGAATCTTGGTGCCACATGCTATCTCAATAGCCTTTTGCAGTACTTGTCTCTCGTTTGCAAATTGGATGGGGTCGCTCGCGTGCCTAAGTCATGTTGACGTGGTCCTTGTCTCATTCGCTCTGGGTGAAGTTTTACTGCTTTGGGCTTTGGGAACCTGGAACTTGGTGAAGGACACGAATGCTCCGATTTATCAGCTGAGGTTCTTCAATTTGGACTTCCGCTACAGTTTGCTGAGGTCAGAACTGGACGTTCCACATCGCCAGATTGGACTCGACTCAATTGGTCCAGTTGCAGGGTCCAGCTTCCAGCGTTTGCAGTTGTTTCTTTTGTTGTAGCTCTTGCTATGATACTGATTTTAGAAGTTATGGTTTGTAGTCCACATCGCTTTGCAGAAGAAGCAAGGAGCTTGTGACCACGAGAGAATCGACGGTGTTGGATAGTTGTTGGCCCAACTTGATTGAGCACCTGCCATGACGAACGACCTTCGTGGTTTGCCACATGAGAACTCCATCGCAAAAGCCTCCAGGGCTCCATCGCAAAGCCAAGTGGTGGCCGCCTTGCAGCGGGTGGGCCTTCTCGGCAGCAGTGCAGACAGAATACAAGACTGCCGTATCGAAGCTCAAGCCATTGCGTGGTCTTTTCCCCACCCAGTTTGTGGATAAACTTTAACCTTTTCGGGGGATTGAACAGATGGAAGAAGGCTAGCCGTATTTTCCAGCACACATGAGGGAGTCAGTTTCTGTTCAGTTACTTGATGTTGCTTGCATCTAGCTACGGCCAGACAGGGCCTTATAGGTATTGAGAGGTACTAAAATCCAGATGATCCAATTCCCAACTGACTCGAATTTTGGGAATAAAGAGTTCTTTTTTCTCACAGCTGTGTGCTTGAAGAGGAACATCATAGTGACCTCCATCGCACAAGGTTGGGACAATGACAATGAGCACTCATTTCTTCCGTCCCATGGAGGGAATTGCCTCAAATGCCTGATCCTCCAACGCATCCAAGAAGGTCCCAGGGAGCATGACGTGCTGCCTCAGGCACATCACCCATCCCAAACAACAAAAGCCTTCAACTTGGAAGTCATCCTATACCAGTGCCTTCCAACAGGTCTTGAGACGAAGCTTCATTGGGTCCTTGCTCACGTCTCAAGTGGTGACCGGGTCGGGTCGTGTGCACGTCACCTTCACCGCCGGACTCGTGCGCGTCGCTGAACTCGAACCCCCCAAATCCCCCCAACATCTGCAGGTCTTCGCCCTGCTTTCGGAGGGGGAGTCCTTGGTCGTCGATCCAAAGGACCCCGGTCCGGACAGGGTCGATCCATGTCGATGGACAGCTGAATCGACGGAGGGATGGAGCGTCCATTTGGAATGTGCCAAAAGAACCACAAAGGAATGCCAGGGCCCACGTGTTCTTGATATAGTCATAGTATGTCATAGTATGTCCTATAGTTATTTGTTTTTTTCGTTGTTCACTGCTTTTCGCCAGGGTTTGAGATTGTTTGAGAGCACTTCTTGGTCAGGCTCTTCCGTTCATGTGTCTCAGTGATTTGCTCGGTAATTGCTGGTGCCGTTGATCAAGAGCTATGTTATTGTGTTTAGATTTGAAGATCTAGTTTTTAAGTACCAGTTCCAAGATCATCCTAAATGCATTAGATAATCCTGCACTTGCGGCACACTGCTGATGAGAATGATGAGCAGACTATCAAAGAAAAGGTGTTTCACTCATGTAAGAATAGGGGTTGCCCAAGCCAACAGTGGAACGGCACTGCTCCAGGCAGAAAAGTCGTGTCATGCCGTGTCCTTGTTCAGAGTCTCATTGAGCATTCGGTGGAGGATGTAGGAAAGCCCCCCCGAATGAGTTCAAAGCCTTTGGAGCCGACCGAGTGGCTGAGCAGATCTGATGGGTTTTCATGTCTCATCAGTGCCGTGAGCATCGCACAACATCAAAGTGGTCAAGCAAAGATAAATCGAACAGATTGTTTTTTCCAATTGCCTTGTTAACGAGTCGTAAAACGTGTTAAATAATGAACGCATCATGCGTATTGAAATACGGGGACCTTTTTCAAAGACATCCTGGAAGGAGGTGACCCAAACCCACGCGTAATCGGTTCGTTTACCGATGTCGAGACCTGTTTGGTATTTGGATCTTTGATAGGACATCTAGGTTTTTCTACCATGCTTGGGGCAGGACTTTGTGACGGCCGCTCGTGTCGATGCACTGGAGCAGGCCGAAGTTGGGTTTTGACCGGACAAGAGGAGGCTGTTTACACCCATGTTTGTCGAAAGCACCAGCACGACAAGGGGGGAGGCTGCACAGGGTTTGGCACAGTTTCAAGAGTTTTGTGTGGGTCAAAACTGTGATCTTTGGTAATCTGCTTGGGTTGATTTGGATTTCAGGCTTGTTACCCACTGCCTACAGCAGGATATGGCACACATGTTTTCCTTGTCCATGGTGGCAGGTGTTAGTTTGTCCCTGTTTGTTTTCTTATGTATATAGTGTGCCCGCACAACAGCAACCAGCTGCGGAGCAAAAAGGACGGCCCCCTGAGTCAGGTTGGAGAGGTCGTGTCGAGACGTGTAGGCTTTGACATCCCTTATGTGGATCCTCTTAAACACCACTCAGCAAGCCGCTGCTTTAGTTGGTGCGAATGGCAGAAAGCAGCAGGCATAGCTTTGCATCTAGTCCCTCAAATTTATTGCATTTATTACACGTATGATCATATATATATATGAAACAAGATGAAACGAGTATATAATTACTCTAGCTGGAGATGACAAGGTCTTATTAGTACAAACGACTGGACTGTTCCAAATCTTCTTCCACGCATCATTCCTCCTGTCCAGCAGTCCGGCCTCAGGCAGACGCCACAGAGTTCAGCGCTTTGCTCTTGGATTGGCTTCAGCGGGAACTCTCTGCAGGTCGAACTCCGAAAAGTCGAAACGAGTGCCGGGCAAGGGTTGTCGGAGCTCAATAGACATCAGTTGACCTTCATGAAGGTATGGGAGGTGTCCAATCTTTTTTTCCCAATCTTCGCCACAAAAGCATGGAGCAAACCTGCATGGTCTAGCTGATGAGCTCGGCATCGCCGAACCTTGTCACCAGGGAACAAGTCACACAAGAAAACACAGGAAGTGACAACTTGCATGAAGCCCACCTGTTGATTCCAATAACTCTTTGACAGGCCCTGAAGTTTCGTTTTCAATCTTCACAGATGTTCTTCATGTTCTCATAAGGATCCATCGATTTTTACTGCCCACCAAACAACAACCAACCAACCAATCAATCAAACAATCGATCAACCAATCAATCAAACAAAAAAACAAACAGACAGACAGACAGACAGACAGAGAGACAGAGAGACAGAGAGACAGAGAGACAGAGAGACAGA